TTTGGAGGAGCTTCCCATGCGAAGGGAATTGTCCTGGAAAAAGTGTAAGTACAACTGAAGTGCCCGTGGAGGTTAGCTGGAGAAATACACTCCAGCTACTGTGAGTAGTTTGCTTGTGGCAACTCCACTGAGCGCTAAAGTAAATGCTGTTTAACTTCATTGTAACTGCCCAACTCTGAGAGTTATTTATCACACGTTATATATAACAGGCATTAGTGCTTGAATCTGGAGGACTATATTGCCTTTTGCATTATGTACAATTGTTAGATACATTTTTAGTTAGGTTCTGTTGGCGTTCAGAGGTCTTTGTGCTTGATTTCTGCAATATACTGTTTTATTTTGGAAGTCATTTAATAACGTTATTTATCTTCAGAGTGGAAGGCTTCTTAAATTTGAAGGTTAAGGAGATGTACTGCTGAAAAAGGGAGCGGGCCTCATTTTCAAAAGTGCTGAGTCCTCTCAGATACCATTGAAAACTGTTAGAACAATAGACATTCTGAATTTTTGAAATTCAGGTCCTGTGGAAAAATCCACTGTGTGATGTTTCTACTAACTTAGTGCTGGGCATTTTCTGAATAAAGCCTGTCAATCTAATGATTTATGTGGTGTTTTTTGGACAGATGGCTATTATGCATTAAATTGACAGCACCAGAGCTATTTCTTGTTTGTTATCAGGAGTGGAAAATGTTTGCCCTCATGCCACTCAATGTCTATAATTCTGGCTTAAATTGAAATGCTCACCATACTTTATACAGCAACTAATACCTGGACTTGATTTTTTGTTTCAATCTGTATTTTGTCTGCAGTTACCACCCGTCTCTGAGGTCCCCTTCTCTCTTCCCAAATAAAAATCAGAACATAAAGACCTCACGCCTGGGTTCCTGTTAGCATTTTTAAGCCTCTTATTTAGGAGGCTAGACTATCCTGGTGGCTCAAGCCTCCAGGGTGCCATTGTACTGTTTCTAATTTGCAGTGTCATTAAGTTAGCATTTGTCCCCATGGAACGCTTCCCTCTCCACTCTCCCACCCCTCCTAGTATTGGCTCAAATATTTAGGAAGCGAAGGGACCATTTGGGGCATTATTCTTTCTTGGACCAAGATACTAGACAAGCTGTGTTTCAGTAATTGTCCATTAAATGTTGGGTTTTATACTACTTCATGAAAAACAGATACTATTTACATTCTCCATAGAATGGAGTTGTACAAAGTGATCCAGCGTGTTTAATGTAGCGGTTCTTGATGTTCTAATAGAGATGTGCTAAAATAGTCAAGCAGAATGTCAGTGATGCCTTTTCATGTGTTTCCATTTCAGTGGCGTAGAGGCTAAGCAGCCTAATTCAGCCATCAGGAAATGTGTCAGAGTCCAGCTGATCAAGAACGGCAAGAAAATAACAGCGTTTGTTCCTAATGATGGTTGCTTGAATTTCATTGAGGTGAATAATTTATCAGCAAAAACTTATCCCAAGTGTATTTGGCTGAACTGGGGGATGGCACGAGCAGGGGCCGTGCCCACTGCACTTTGATGAGATGATGGGCAGAAGACAGACATTAGAAGTGCTCTTTCACCTTCCGTCTGCCACATCATGCCTCAGCAGTGCTGTTACAAAGTGAAGGAGTGTACTAGCTAACATTTGTTCTTACCAAAACGTTGAAGGAACTAAAGTTCCAAATCTTTATATCTGACCACCACAGTTCTTTTTGTTTTGTCTGGCCTTTCCTGGGAGGGGCTGTGATATGCTTAAAGCTATTGGGTCAAATTTGGAATGCTCTGATTTCTCACAGTAGCCAAAAGATACATTGTGTTTCAGACATATGCATGAATCTGATGTTGATTGCTGTGCAACTGCAGTGTTTCCTGTTTTTAATTCTAGGAAAACGATGAAGTTCTGGTTGCTGGTTTTGGTCGGAAAGGTCACGCTGTTGGTGATATTCCTGGAGTTCGCTTCAAGGTTGTCAAAGTAGCCAATGTTTCCCTCTTAGCCTTGTACAAAGGCAAGAAGGAGAGACCAAGATCATAAACTTTTGTTACTCTGTTAAGGATGTCAATAAAAATGTTCATCTAAAGAAACCTCTTGTGTTTTTTTTAAAATATTTTTTCTTTTTGAGAATAGTGTTGATTTTCTAAATGAATTGTTTGTAAATGACATGCGTGTAACTGTGTTTCAACATCTGTAGTGCCCTGTTTGCCACTAACTTCTTTTTCTTGTAATAAGAAATGTCTTACAATTGACCAGGATAAAGGTGCTCAAGTTTCTTAATTCCATCAGTACTTCTGTGCACTACTCTAGCATTTGTTATATCTGTTTTACTTAGCTCACAAGATATTTGTAAAGATACTCTAAACCAGATTTTTAGCATACAAATAGTATTGGATCTGTTTGGGTTTGAGTTAAGAGTGGAGCTGGTTGGGAAAACTAGTTCTTTTTCTTCTGGAAAATTTCAAGGTTTTGGCAAAACTAAATCCAGACTTTTTCAGTTCTAAAATGATGCCTCAAGGAGTCTGTAGTATGGGAGCTTCATGCTCCCATTCCCTTCTATATGATGGGCTCCCTGAACTATTTCTCCCATGATGCATCAGTTTCCCCTTTTGATGTGGGGAGGAGGTGTATTGTGAAGTCCAATGGGGAGCCTGTCCCATAGAACAGGAAGCATGAGGCACTATGGCAGTACTTCTGAATCAATGTTTTTGCTTTCCATGGAAAATTAGCCCAAAAACTTTCAATTCCCAGGACATTTTTTGGTTGGGGGGAAAAGAAACATCCATTAAACAGTTTTGATGAAAAATTTTCAAACAGACCCAGTTAAAGCACAGCTAAGAATAGTTTATTGAAATAGTTTTCCTTCTAACCAGTAAATCTGCTTAGTTAAGCGCTTGCTGAGGTAAACTTGGGAGTGCTTGGCAAAACTGGCTTATTAGCCAGGCCTGGTGCTGGGGAGATGTAAGCAGAGGTAGTAGGGAAGAATCCCACATGCATCATCCCAGTTTGTAAGCCTCTATAGATACCATGCCAATGACTGGAGTAGCATGTGTTCTCTCACTGTTGAGGTGGGTCAGTGGATCTCCTTGATCTATGATGCCTTACTCTCCAAATGCTGTCATGCAATGAACGCTTGCAGATTCCCAACCCTCCTGTTGCTCCACTGAGCAGTTTCTGCTACTGTGAGACCCTGCACAGACATGGGGGTAGTATTTGTCCTTACATTCAGAATCCTGGGCTGGAATCATGTCACTTGTTGAGTCATTGTCTGGCAGAAACAGTGTTCAGACGGATATGCACCAGCGTACCATGTGAGAATGTTTCTGCTATGTTTAAATAAAGAAGAGTCGAGACTCTCATGGTGGGTAAAAATGTAGCTCCTCTGGGAGGAAGCAAGTTCCACTAATAGGAGATGAGTCTGGCAGTTGAGTTTTAGTCCCAGATCTACCACTAGTTGCTGTGACCTTGAGCTAGTGACTTAACCTACCTCTGCCTCAGGTTCCCTGTCTCTTAACAAATGGGGGTAATGATACCCTTCTTTGTAAAATACTTGCCTGGGTGTAGCACGGATTTTTACTAGTGCTGAAGGGGGAAAATGCAGCCTTTCCTTTAAGGTGACTAGAAGGGTATCTCTCTTGGTCATGAAAGGACACTGCTTAGTCTATACTGATATTGTGTTGTTTTTGCTGATGTATGTGGGAAGGTTGAATGCAGGTACTGTATTTGAAGTAAGAGTTAATTCTATTAACTACAAAATCTGAAAGAAATAGTGGAACAGTTGTTGGCTTATTTTTAGATTGATACTTTCAGCTTCAGAACTGGTAAATGATTGTTCAATGTACTTTGTGAATAGGCTTCTTTTACTGCTATATGTCTAGAAAAGCTGGAATTTTATCTCTACAGCCATGTTTCCCCAAACCAGGCTATTCCCGTGGAAACATTGAGTAAGTTTCCTCTTACTCCCGGTATCAGACCAAAAACTCAGGTTTGTCGGGAACTGGTTTGTTCTTTTGTGAACCAGCACATGACTGTTTGCTGCCCCTCTCTAGCAGGAAAGAGAGAAATATACTGTTGAGGTTCTTTTTTTACTTATGTGAAAAAATACCCTTGGAATGGAAAATGCTCAACGGAAGAATTGAATGTAGTGGTGGACTGTTACATTTACGCAAGGTTTTGGGGTGCTAGTAGGAAGAGCTCTAGTTCCTAGAGGTTTACAACCAAATTTTCAAGTGACCACTGATTCTGTAAGCCTCAGTTCTTAGGAGCCCAACTTGAGACTTTGTGTCTGATTTTCAGATGTGGAGGACAACCATCTCCCCCTCAATAAAATGTGGGTCCTTGCCCCTGACAACCAAATACGTGTCTAAATATGCAAAAACTGAGGCGCATAACTCAGATTTTAAGGCCAGAGGGACTATTGGATCATCTAGTGTTATACAGATCAGACAGGCCATCAGAGTTCACTCAATTGCTCCTACATAGCTGGAGCCTGGATCCTAAGCAAGGAGAAAAATCATAAGGAAAGGTTGCAGGTGAAACTGGATGAACAAGCATCTCAAACAGGTGATTAAAAGAAAGCAGAGAGCCTACAAGGGATGGATCAGCAAGGCAAGCTACCTCTTGGGAGATCAGAAAGTATAGGGAAGAAGTCAGAACTGCCACAATCTAACCAGAGCTGGACCTTGCAAAGGAAATTAAAACCAATACTGAAAGGTTATTGAGCCATATAAATAAAGAAAACAAGGAAAAGTGGGACTATTAAACACTGAGGATGGGGTGGAGATTAAAGATAATCTAGGCATGGCCCAACACCTAAATGAATACTTTGCCTCAGTTTTTAATAAAGGTAATGAGCTTTAGGGCAGCGGCAGGGTGGCTAACAAGGATATGGAAGTAAAATTGTGATGTGAGATGGAAGCCAAACTTAAACACTTACCAGATTTGCCCTTACTTTGGGGTATGCTAATTTATTAGGGTTACTCTTCTGGGGGGGGGGGGCAGTGTTCTGTAATTCTATTAATGTACTGCTTGTGTCACTTGTGTTTTCATATGGAGCTCTACTTCTCCCTCTGCAAGTCCCTTCCCAATGGAGCTATCCTGCAGGACCTAGGTTCCCCAGGGCTGGGTTCCTCCAGAACCAGACACCCACCAAGTCTGAGTGAACCGGGTCAATGAGCACCAGCTTAACCATAAAAGTTATTTATTGAATAATAGTGGTAACTATTGGTAACTAAGGAGAGCCTAAAGCAACATAATGTTTACATTATTAAAGGTTACAAAAGTCATATATAGAAAACTATGCCTGCCTGGGGTAGAAAAGAAAACAGAGAGAGAGAGCTAGAATCTCACCAATCCATGAAGCTTGAACTGGTCGGGGTTCCAAGGTTATGGTGGTAGCTCAGGGGCCTGAGCGCTGGAGACAGGCAGCATGATCAGTCAGGAGAAGATGGAGTCCCAGTAGAACTGATACAGAGTTTGGATCCATACATCAGAACACTTACTGGAGCATGAGTAAGAGTTTTTGTAGGGGAAAATACAATGGTTCAAGGAAGAACACTAGATTTGTTTATGGGTAAACTGATGACTCAAGGGTTTTCTTTAGGCTAGACAATAAGAGCTGATCACTCCTAGCTATGGGTGATGTTTCTTCTCAGGAGCTCACAATGCAAAAGACGGTTACTTACCTTCTGTAACTGTTGTTCTTCGAGATGTGTTGTTCACGTCCATTCCAC